CGTTAACTATATAGTAGTCTACTACGTAAGTACGTAACAGGCACACACACACACACACACACACACACACACACACACACACACACACACACACACACACACACACACACACCACATCCAGGGGGAATATACTGGTGTGAACCCAGCTCAAAGTCTGACATGTGTCCTTTCTGCTCTCCTCTCTTAGCTCTCCCTGTACATGGATAAGTTTGAGGAGTTTCAGAGCACTCTGGCTAAAAGCAACGAAGTCTTCACCACCTTCAGACAAGAGATGGAGAAGGTGACACACTTCCTGTTGGCTAGAGTTTGGGTCCCGCTGCTTTCACAGCTGTTAACTGTATGGCTTTCTCTCCAGATGACCAAGAAGATCAAGAAGCTGGAGAAGGAGACGACACAGTGGAGGACCAAATGGGAGAGCAACAACCAGGCTCTGCTGCAGATGGCTGAGGAGGTGACTCATCACGCTCTCTGATTTGGGTTGAGTGGGAGTAGTAAGGACAACGAAAAGATACCAATGATTGGGAAATATTTCAGGCTGTGTGTGAGTGAGATTAGAGGCTGCAGATCAGTCACATCTCTGAGTTAGGGACAGAACCAGGGACAGCCTAGCCTAGCATAAAGCAGCAGGGGGAACGGGCTAGCCTGGCTCTGTCCAAACAAGTGTTACAACACTTCTCAAGCTCACTGATTATCATGTTCTATCCAATACGTCTAATCTTTTACACACACACATGTAAGATGATTTAATTAGGGAGTGATGTGCTAGAACACACACACATCTTCTTAGCCAATAAGAATATTTCTAACCTCTTCTTCAAATACAGAAATTACTATTTTTTTTCCAATGAATCCAGAATCATTGCTTCTAATTAAACTCATTTATTGGGTTCAGTCATATTCTCCCCTTTTCTCTAGAGAAGGGAATTGTGTGTATAATGGAAATATGAACCTTTCTCGATGTCCTCTTTTCCAAATTGTCTAAACTAATATCCGAACACGTGAGGCTCCACCTGCTAGCTTCTACTCCTCTATATAGAGAGCTGTGACACCGCCTCACACTGAGCGTCCCTCACGTGTTGAAGCTGCTGTTTGATGCCCTGTGTGATGGACATGCTGTTGTGTTGTAGAAAACTCTGCGTGACGGACACTTCAAAGCGCTGCAGGGGAAGCTGGAGCTGCTGGAGCGGCTGTGCAGAGCGCTGCAGAAGGAGAGGAACGACCTGAACAACCAGCTGAGCCTCCTGCAGGAGACCCCGGACACCACGCAGACCACGGAGACCACACAGGCCCCAGAGACCACAGAGACCACGCTGACCCCCGAGACCACACAGGCCCCCGAGACCACGGAGACCACGCTGACCCCAGAGACCACGCTGACCCCAGAGACCACGGAGACCACGCTGACCCCCGAGACCACACAGACCACGGAGACCACACAGGCCCCCGAGACCACGGAGACCACGCTGACCCCCGAGACCACGCTGACCCCCGAGACCACACAGGCCCCCGAGACCACGGAGACCTCACAGGCCCCTGAAGCCCTGCCAAGGGAGCCCTTCGTCAGTGAGGAGGCTGACGAGGAAGAGGGGGGGTGGGGAGGGGAGGCACAGGGGCTGGAGACAGAGGGCATCCACGAGGCTCCCAGATCCCCTGAACTGGACCACACACCGGCTGCTACTCACACAACCACTGCTGCTGCTCCACCGTGCAGCCAGCCTGCACAGCCCCCCTACCCCCAGGACTGACCCGCCTTTAGGCCTGTGTGTAGGTGAGGGGTTGGGCCTGTAAAGCAAATTCATGGGGTTAGATTTATTTTTCTTTATTTTATTTGTATTCTAGATTCTCCTGGTTTCCCCATATATATTTAGTTGGCTAGTTAAATGATTGTAAAACAAATGTTTTGTCATAAGGGAAGATGTAGGCTAACATGGGGGATGTGGGGAACTCAAACGTATGATACAGAAGAAGACATATGTTGTTGTTGTTGTTGGTGTGATGCCTACTGAAGAAACAACTAAAGCAATATAAAGAGATTTTTTTGATGGAAGAAACTCATTCATTTCCATATGGTCAGCTCAGCAGGCTGTACAGAAAGGTGCCATCATGTGTCCTCTGGCAGGTCAAATACAGTTGATCATGTGGAAGATCATGTTTGATCCCCTACCAAGGCAATACATCTCAAAGCAGCTCTGTGCTGCAACAGGTCCTTCAGTACGTCTATCTGATAACCCTCTTACCTGCTCCATCTCCATTGAGTATCACACTCTTTTATTGTGGATAGAATGATCCAGGAATGTGGCCATTTGTTCCTCTTCATGATATCATGCACCTCCATTTGAATGTGTGGTTTCCTAACCATCACTTCATACAGTGTCTCCTTTTGGAGTTGTAGAGTCAGTGAGAATCAGGTTTTTGCTCCACCATAATCTTCCTTAAACGAGAACAAAGGCATAAGTCACTGTGTGTAGTTTGCTCTGAGATGTTGCCTTGCAGTCCCATTGATTATTATCTGACCCCCCCATCCCTACTTCCCCCCATTGTGTGGATTTAAAAACCAAGGTGGTTTGTGTAATTAGTGTAGGGGTGTAGGATGGGGGAAGACTTTTCAGTCCAATTGAATCATTTGCTCTTGCTTTGGCGTTGCCGCAGACTGACTCAGGTAATGTCAGAATCTACCTCTGCAGGTGAGGCTGAAAAGGAGGACGAGTCACCACAACTTTGGAGAGCTCTATTTCTGTTGGGGGACAAAAAGAGATTTGCCCACACCCCCTCTTTGATTGTACAATGTTCTTAAAAGTCCTGTCTTGATTTTCAATAAACATTTTGTAGAATTTGGATTTATTTCCTGAATAATTATTTCCTGGATGTAAGAGATAGGCACATGGGAGTTTCCATGCATTTACCGCCATGGTAAAGAAGGTTTCATTTCAAAACATTAAAGGTGGGGTAGGTAATTTTGGAGAAACCAGCTCGAGTGCACTAGAATTTGAAAACACACAACTGGAAAAAATCTGCCACTTCCTTACAGAGCCCCTCCTCCAACACACGTGAACGCGCACATGACCAATGAGGGCACGAGATAAGTTTGTGCACAGATGGAAGGCTAACAGGCAGGTAGGCCATCCAGTTACTTTAGCCGGGCAGGCTCAGATGATTGGGCGTGCTTTTTACAGCGCTACGGCTTCCACAGATGGATTTTTTGACAAAGGACGGGATGTTGAGAGCATTCCATGGAATATAACTAGTGTTTCTGAAATAAATTGCATACCCCACCTTTAAAGAAACTCAAAATTCACAAATGAGAAACTTCTCTTTGAAAAGTTATAAAAGTTTTATTGCAATTTGTGGTGCATGAAACAAAGAACAATTTCACATTATGTAACAACAAAAAGAGGAAAAGCAAAAATATGTCCGTTTCCCTCAAGTGCACTAATTTAGTCCCACAGCCTTCACCCTACCAAACTGAGGAGCCTATGTACCCTGTGAAGAGGAACACAGCCTCTTCTTCAAAGAACAGCCACTTAAGAAGATGATGGAAGATGAATAACAGCTATACGTGGAGAAATCAGTTTGACAAGGAAGCTCTCCTGGACATGACCATGGTTGGCTTTTAACGGTGTTCACTCTGGACAGATGTGGATCCGTTTCAGTTCAGTCTTCTACTGTCCAGGTTTCAGAACATATCTGTGTCTTAAGGGCAGCCTACTAGCTAGAGATGTTCTTGATTTCATGTTGTTTTTGCACGAGCCCAATAGGCTGATCCGACCTTAACAACAGGGGCTTCTGCTCCCTGAACTGTGGAGGCACTAGCACCTCCACAGGCAGAACCTCCTCCTGCTGTTCACGGCTGCAGAGCCACAGTCCAGGCTGTCTCTAACTCTATACTTTGTTCATTTAGAGCGGAGGGAGTACACTTTTCATTTTTCACTTGAAGTCAGAGAGGGAAACGACGGGCTGGGTGTGGAGCTCAGGGAATGGAAGGTGGGGGGGGCTTGATGGAGGGACACCAAGCTGGGTTATGATCCCTGAGCCTCCAGCTCTGAAGCGGGGGTGTTGTCTGGCTCCTCGTCGTTGTAGATGTTCTCGGCCTGGAGAGGAGAAGAGAGGGAGGACGCAAATTCAAATCTGTATATCAGTGAAGAACAAAGCCAGGCATGTTTACCTTTTGGACTGAATTCTGAATGTGTTACGGTTAAACAATCTATAACTCTTCTTTACAGCGGCTTTGTCACACATTAATGTACAAACTGTAAAGAGACAAAGCACACATCTGACGGTGTTCAATAAGAGAAACATCAGAACCCCTGATCCTACTTGTGGAGGGGTACAGTAATGGTTAGCATCATCAGGGCCCCCACCACAAAAAGCTATGAGAGGTTGGAGTATTGCAGAATGTAATCTCTGTGGCAAACAAACTGTGTTGTTGCTTTTAACACAAAAGCTTCAACATCCATCAGTGGGGTATTTATCAGACTCGGGAGTACTAGAGACCTGCACTCGGACTCACGCACTGATGGACCCGGAGTTGGACATTAACGACCCGACAGAGATATAGTCTCGAGCAGCTGTGAGGCGAGTTCCCATACCACGCGCCCCCATTATTCTCAGTCTAAAGATGTGCAGAGAAACACCCCCGACTCTGACTCTCCTTGGGTGATTCAGACTTGGACTCGAGCACAGGGAATGAGGACTGACTCGACTACAACACTAGGGTTAACTAACACTCTAACCATAAAATATCTCATCAGGAAGCTGAACAGGGTATATGCAGGAATCCTGAGGTCAAATTTAATACCTTTTTTAAGACCCTTTCCATACATTTTAAGACCTCATCGCAACTTTGAGTTCTAACCGATTACATTGGCGACACACTTTACCTCACATTTACTATATTGATTGTAAGATAGCACAACTAAACAGAGTGCAGACAGACTACTGAAGCCTCCTCTCCACATGAACTTCAACCTCTCTGTGAAGGTCAGGTTTAATGCAGTATGCTGCTTTTTTGCTTCTGTAGACTCTGTGCTCTTTCATTCCAGTCAAACTCCTCAGAAA